AGTCAGATGCTTAACTGACTGAGCCACCCAGGTGCCCCTAAATAACTTCATTATTAATGAAGGAAAAATTTTAGTAAAGAAACTTAGTGTTTATCTTACAAACACACACACACACACACAAAAGCAATGAAGGAAATGAAAAGAATGTGTCCATTTTACCCAGCTCTGCCAGTCACCTGCCTACTCTCGGAAGGGGGCAGGGGATGAGGAGTGCCCAGTGTTTTGTGGGAATTCTGGTCTTTGCCAAGGGAGCTCTGAGCCCAGTGTGGCATGGAACGTGAGGCAAGCTGGGGATTGCTGGGAGCTGCGCGTCTGGGCCCTCCGGGGGGGACCTGAGGGCCGAAAGGGAGAGGCAGGTAGAGGGTGCCTTGTCTAAAGAGAATTTTAAAATAACGCCGAGGGTGTGCCAAATTGATCAGCCTTTTATTATCCTTATGAGACCAGCAATTCTAAAGAAGGTCAGAGAGAAGATACTCCTACCCCACAAATCTTTTGTTAGTGGTTTAAAAAGATACTGTGGTTACTGTTGCATTTTAATAGCATATATGTAAGTTTCAAGTTAGCAATTTTTATTGCCTTTATTAAATGTTGTATGCTGTACGGAAGTTAATGCAGACTCCCTCCAAGTTGTTCTTAGGGGACTCAGTGCCTCATGCTTGGACATTCGAAACGGCTTTTGGAGCTCAAGGGGCAATTGTGTCTCCTCTCCCCGAGGTGACACATATTTCTCCTTTTAAGCCTTAGATTTGAGATGAGCAATGAGACGAGTGATTGCAAGAAGGAAGAAGAAACAGAACTCAGTTTTCACACTTTTGCAATTCTGTGACCATTTGGAGTTTTCATTTGTGTTTAAGATTTTAAATAGTGAGGGACTCCTGGGTGGCTCAGTTGGTTGTGTCCGATTCTTGATTTCGGCTTAAATTGGTGAGTTCAAGTCTCGCATTGGCCCCGCTCTGACAGTGCGGAGACTGCTTGGGGTTCTCTCTCTCTCTCTCTCTCTCTCTCAAAAGAAATAAATAAATTAAAAAAATTAAAATACTGAGATAGGGCAAGGTGTACTATTTTTGTTTGGTTGGTACAAACTTTATTTCATATGTGAAGTATTTTACTGAATTAGAATATTTTAAAAACAAAAATATTTTAAAATTGCTCATTTTAATTGTTAATTAAAGAATGAGTCAATAAAATCATTATTGCTGCTTATTAGATGATAATTTCTGAAAAGCATGTTGCAGGATACCAGAGGGGGTGTTGACAGAAGATCCCCCATAAAATCAGACACACCAGGTTGGTCCACCCAGACGTGGGATCTGGGGTGTACTGAGCTTTGAGCTGTGGGCTTCCAGGGGCTCGCAGCAGCTTGGCCATCCAGGGCCAGCATTTGAGTGGGAACCGGGACCTGAGTGGGAAGTTCCAGGACTGGTGTGCACCCCTGTGCCCCAGGACTCCCCATCTGCCCAGGACTCTGCCTGGGCTCAGCCACCAGGTGCAGGAGCAGCGGCTGTAGAAAGACAGAAAGTCAGGGAAGGATGAGCTCCTAGAATGTGTGGGCAGAAAATGAGGGCTGGGGGCAGGACTAGATTCCTGGGGTTAGTGGACAGTGATGGGACCTGGTTTTTCCTCGTTTGCCTTTGTTTCTTCAGCCAATGAATCGTTTATTTCCCTCCTCCATGGAAATAGCTGAATTTCTACCCAAGATATAAGCGTGGTGCATCCAGCTGTAAGGAAAAAGCCAACCTATGCAGAAAGACACACAGCCAGAAGCAGAGCGCCCTGGATGCTTGTCTTATCCCAGAATGGGCTGGTCTTACCCACGCGATTCTGTGCCTTCCTGTATGATGACTTAACCAGTCCTCATTCATAGATATTTGGGTTGGTTCTGCAGCTTAAGATTGTGATCCCAGGTACTCTGAATTCTACTAAATTAATCTTCATAAGTTTACCCAAATAGTTCTTTAGGATAAACTTCCTAATGTGGGACTGCGGGGTCAAGGGGATGATGATTTGGCGAATGTTGCCTAATTGCCGTCCTCAGAAGTGCAGCCTCCCTAGAATGCTCGCCAGTGAGGGTGCTGACTGAGCCTCTTGCTTGCTGTTGTGTCTCCAGTGGGTCATAAATATTTGATGAATAAATAGATTAATTTATACTTTCTTCAATGAATTGTGTTTCTTTTTCTGTACACACTAACCAGTGAAGGTTAAGATCAACCTTTTAAATAATGAGAGCCAAATATATTCATAGAGCATGTATTATGTGTCAGGCACTATACTGAGTACTAATTTGCTGAAATTATTTTATTTAATCCTCACAGCAAAGTTGGAGTAAAGTGCTATTATTTATTCCAATTTTACAGATTAGGAAACTACATGAAGGCATGAAGGGCTACATGCTTAGAGAGTGGTGGAACTGAGATTCAGATCCAGACTATCTGGCTCTCACACTCTAGACCCTTAATGAATCACACTGCCTCTATACCTTGGCCAGTCTGATGTGAAAATAAGGTCTTGTTTTGTTGAGATTTGCATTTCATTGGTTCTTAGGAAGAATGAACATATTTCATGTATTTATTGGCCATATATATTTCGACAAACTGCCTGTTCACGTGTTTCTATCAAATTTTCTGTTGTTTTTTTTTCATATTTTTCTTATTGATTTGTAAGACATTTATTTAAAATATTTTATTTTCTGATTTTTATGTAAACATT